CGTCAGCGTGCTCGACCACTCGCCGGCTCAGTTGTCGGGCCTCCGGTCGGACGACAGACTCATCGAAGTGGATCGCACTTGCGTCGTCCTCTTGACAGACGCGCAGATCGTCGGCCTCCTCCGTCGCCAGTTGTCGCAGCGGCCGAGCCGGTCCGTGCGGCTCGGCGTCATGCCGCAGCGCGTCTACGACGCTCTGCACGCGGTGCAACAGCACTTCGCCGTCTGCCCCAACAAAGGCTTCCACTTGCAGGCGTGGGCCAAAAATGACATGCTCGGAGTCCGGTAGGTCCAATCAGACGACTGGGCCGATGGAATTTGTGTCGGTTCGTCTTCTGTTGTTGTTGTTGTTGTTGTTGTTGGGCTGTGGCCAGTTGGTAGCCAATTGCATCTGGCCTCTCTAATCGCGCGTGGACACTGGCCGGGCATCACTCCATCCTCAAACGTCCAACCTCCCATTCGTGCTGACCTCGTACCTGCCATAGAGTTATATCCATTAAAATGCACAAAATTAATATATTGTTTTATATTTATAATGACAGCAATAAAGAAATAGTATATGAAAATAAATAGCATATTATCTTATAACACAATATTCACCCAATTTCGTTTTAGGCTGATGAAGGACTGGTGCTAGAAGAATTCACCCACTATCATACGAGTTGAGCCTTGCTTTGCCAAAAAGTTGTTCTTATCCACACAGAAGTGCACCTCAGTTTGCACCTCGCCTCGGTCCTATCAACACCCACAGCGCGAGTCGAACCGCGACAGTGCAGGATGGGAGCTCGACACTGCCACGAGGGCCTTTTGGGTTACAGGGCGAATGTGAATTTTAAGGAAGGCCAGGCCTTGTCCTTATATCATATTCTTTTGGAGGAATTGTCGATGAAGCAAACGTATATTTGCTATAACAATCGACGACGTTACATTATTTTTCGAATTAAGTATTGTATACGTGGCTACAAGTAAATCAGTAATATGAAATGTACTAAACCAATTTGGTTTGAGTTGATGAAGAACTGGTATAAGAATTTTCCCACAATGATATGAGTTGAGATCACGTTTTGATTCAATTCCACATACATCTCATATTACTGATTTACTGGTTGTCACAAAAACAAGACTTGATGCGAAAAATAAAGTATAGTAGTCGATTGTTATAGTAAAACATACGTTTGCTTCATCCACCATCCCACCAAAAGAATGTGATATCGCAAAAAGGCCTGGCCTTCCTTGAAAGTTCACATTTGCCCTGTGACCCGAAAAGTGCTTGTGGTAGTGTAGCCGATTTGTTAGCTCGACAAGCTCCCATCCTGCACTGTCGCGGTTCGACTCGCGCTGAGGGTGTTGACAAGACCGAGGCCAGGTCGAAACTGCAGTCCACTGGGGCCTGGATGAGAGAAACTTTTGCCAAAGCAAGTCTCTGTAGAATTCAATGGAAACGTAAGCTCAACTCATATGATTGTGGGAAAATTCTTCTTCTACCAGTCCTTCATCACCTTCAACGAAATCGGGTGAACACAATTCATATGCCTGATTGACTGGTAGTCTCGAAAGCCCACTCATTTGCGATAAAAGTATCTAAGGAACGACTTTCTTCTGTTATGCCATCATCTAAAGAGAAATGTAACCCATTCTCGTGATCCACTTGCTACAATATTGTGTGCTCCGAAGGTCGACTTTGTGTTGGTGAGACATGCTGGCTCATTGCACAAAGATTAGAGGAACACACAAGTGCTTGTAAAGGGAGCAGTGTCCAACAGTCAGAGATGACCGAACAGGCAGATCAGAGACTGGACATGGGATAGAATGGTACCAAAATAGTAGGTTGCTGATTATGGTATGTGTGTGGTTAAAAGAAGGCAAAGAGAGGCTATTCAAATTACATACGTTGAATGTGAGGAACGGAGGTGG